CACAATCTCTTTACTTTTAACAAATAAATATTGTTGGTCCCAAATTTCACAAAGAACGCAAAACAAAGTAGTAAATCACAAGAAAATAAAGAACAAAAGAATTTTTTCGCCCAAAGAGTCTGAATGTTCAACCTTAGGCCTACTCGCCCGTTGAGCAACCACACAAAGGAATTGAGCTCTAATTCCACCAAAATCACTGAGAAGAATTACAATGCATTCTTCACAATTTTTGTCACCTCAAATCACTCAAAACATACACAACCTCATAGTTTATACATCGAGTGCAGTATCTGCCTTAAGCCCTTATCACTTAGAAATTTAAGGAGATTGAACAAGAAATCACTAAAATTTACAAAATCGACAAAAGAGAGATAAACCCTAAGGCACAAAGAGAACCTCTCAAAAGCACTGAACAGTTCCACCCCAAATGAAGTTTCGAGAATGACTTAAGGAAGGGAGATCAAGAGTCAATCATCAGACGGTGGAGATCGAGCCAAGTGCAGGGCCAGATCATAAGACCAAGAAACTAATAGAGGCGTGTAGAATGTAAACACGTTTTAACCACCAAGTAATAACATTAGGCCAAGGATCAGGTTCTAACACAAGCCCAAGCACCAACAGACTGGACCAAGAATTTGAGGCAACCCAAAACATATAACAAATATTAAATAAGGGAAGATTTCATAACTAAGAAAAATTTAGTTTTACCAATTTCGAATTTAAGAATTTAAATTTCAAATTTCAACTTTCAGATTAATTAAACATATATTTTATTAATTAAATATATTAAGGTCACAATTCCATATAATTTGGTCACGAATTTCATAAAATTGGTCACAAATCACAAATTTAATATGTCACAAATTATTTTATGGTAACAATTCCAAAATTTTATATAACACAATTTGTTCATCAATCACAAATCAAAAATTTATGGTAACAATTCCAAAATTTTATAGACCACAATTTGTTCATCATTCACAAATCAAAAATTGAAACCTCGCAAATTATTTTATGGTTACAATTCAAAAAATTTATATGTTACAATTTGTTCATCGATCACAAATCAAAAATTTTATATGTCACGAATTATTTTATGGTCACAATTGCAAAATTTTATAGGTCATAATTTATTCATCAATCACAATTCAAAAATTTTATATGTTACAATTTGTTCATCGATCACAAATCATAAATTTTATAAGTCACATATTATTCATTGGTCACGTATCACAAATTTTATATGTTACAAATTATTTTACAATTACAATTCAAAAATTTTATAGATCACAATTTATTTATCAATCACAAATCAAAAATTGAAATGTCAGAATTTATTTATTGGTCACAAATCACAAATATTATAAGTCATAACTTAGTAAATAGTCACAAATTGTCAAATTTTTTAGGTCACATATTATTTCTTGGTCACAATTTATCTTTTTCATTGGTTACATATTAACCAATTTAATGGTCACAATCAACCAAATAATTTGTGACCACAACCAACATTTGTGATCACCATCGTACCGCTCCCTCCAGCAGCACCATTGCCACCTTCGTCGCCTAAACCACCAACACTCGACGACCATAATTTTCAACTACCAAACTGTCACTGTCACCGCTAGATCCACCACCACTAAATCCACCAAAAATCATTGCAACCGCCGGATCCACTAACAACGCCAACAACAAAAACCACATCCTCTACCAAATCAAAACCACCACGACTCCCACCCAAACACCTACAACAAATCAGATCCAAAATCGCCAGCATCCTACACCACCTCCAGCATCACACTCCACACCACATCCCATCCCACTACCATCGCCACCACGACCACCACTGCCACCTCCTCCCTAGACCGCCAATTGCACTATCGCAGCCAACATTACAACCACCACTACCCAAAGACCACCAAAAAATCAGATCACAAGCCGGCCGCACAACGACCACCACGACCACCACTGACTCACCAGATCGCCACAAAACAACCACCGCCGCCACCACAGCCAACATCACAACCAGGCCTGACTTCACAGCAACCTAGATGTCGCGCCACGCTCACCAGACCACCACATCAACACCATCGTCGCCACCACAATGAACATCACAACCATTGTAAAACTGGACGGAGTGGCCACCACCCTCACGCCTCTTCGATCCCAACACCTAATAGATGTCGATATCCCTATCTACAGCACAAGCAATCGCACACCACACGTCGCGAGCGGGGCTATGATGAAGTCGTCGTGTTGCTAACAGCATCGCCGTCGTGCTGCACCTACGATTGTGGTTAGGGCTGTCCGTGGGTCGGTTCGGTTCTGAAGAGACTCGAACCGACCCAAAACTTTCAGGTATTTAATAAATGGAATCGTCGGGTCCAAATATAATTATGGAACCGTTTGAGTCCGTACCATAATTAAATTTTTTAATATTTACAGCAACACTACATAAATACAACTAATGACATTTCATTCGTAACTTTTACAAATTAACGTAACCCAATTCAAAAAGATATAAATAAATAACCGTCCAATAAAATTAATTCAATGCATACACATACCAAAAATATGGTAACAATTCCAAAATTTTATATACCACAATTTGTTCATCATTCACAAATCAAAAATTGAAACCTTGCAAATTATTTTATGGTTACAATTCAAAAAATTTATATGTTACAATTTGTTCATCGATCACAAATCAAAATTTTTATATGTCACGAATTATTTTATGGTCACAATTGCAAAATTTTATAGGTCATAATTTATACATCAATCACAATTCAAAAATTTTATATGTTACAATTTGTTCATCGATCACAAATCATAAATTTTATAAGTTACCTATTATTCATTGGTCACGTATCACAAATTTTATATGTCACAAATTATTTTACAATTACAATTCAAAAATTTTATAGATCACAATTTATTTATCAATCACAAATCAAAAATTGAAATGTCAAAATTTATTTATTGGTCACAAATCACAAATATTATAAGTCATAACTTAGTAAACAGTCACAAATTGTCAAATTTTTTAGGTCACATATTATTTCTTGGTTACAATTTATCTTTTTCATTGGTTATATATTAACCAATTTAATGGTCACAATCAACTAAATAATTTGTGACCACAACCAACATTTGTGATCACCATCGTACCACTCCCTCCAGCAGCACCATTGCCACCTTCGTCGCCTAAACCACCAACACCCGTCGACCATAATTTTCAACTACCAAACTGTCACTGTCACCGCTAGATCCACCACCACTAAATCCACCAAAAATCATTGCAACCGCCGGATCCACTAACAACGCCAACAACAAAAACCACATTCTCTACCAAATCAAAACCACCACGACTGCCACCCAAACACCTACAACAAATCAGATCCAAAATCGCCAGCATCCTACACCACCTCCAGCATCACACTCCACACTACATCCCATCCTACTACCATCGCCACCACGACCACCACTGCCACCTCCTCCCTAGACTGCCAATTGCACTATCGCAGCCAACATTACAACCACCACTACCCAAAGACCACCAAAAAATCAGATCACAAGCCAGCCGCACAACGACCACCACTGACTCACTAGATCGCCACAAAACAACCACCGCCGCCACCACAGCCAACATCACAACCAGGCCTGACTTCACAGCAACCTAGATGTCGCGCCCCGCTCACCAGACCACCACATCAACACCATCGTCGCCACCACAATGAACATCACAACCATTGTAAAACTGGATAAGATATATTCATTTGTTTCAAATTAAAATGGACTAATGAGCCTTAAAAATGATTTGGGCTTTAAAATTAAAATTATGAAATTATCTGATTTATTTAATTAATTTGCTAATTTGTTTTAAAAAAAATTAATTTAATTAATTCAGTATAAAAATTAAAAAAATTATTTAGTTTCGATTTTTATTCGGTTCTTGGTATAGACCCGATACCCGACCCAAACACATCGGTTCTCGATTCGGGTATCTGTTCGGGTATTTAATTTATGAAGAATCGCTCGATTCGATTCGGGATTGGTTCGGTCCGGTTCGATTCGGAACTTTTGAACACCCCTAATTGTGGTTAAGAGATAGAGAGAGGTGAGAGAAGAGTGAAGTTTAGAGAGAGAGAAAGAAACTATTGATGTAATTAGGGTTTGAAATTGAATTATGTAGGATAGATTATTAATTAATTTTATAATATTATTATTAATATTAAAATTTTAAATTAATATCTGATTTTTTGTATAAATAAACTTAAAATCTGATTTTTGAATTGTGATTTCTAAAATTCTAGTTCAATGTAATTTCCTCATTAAATAATATGACATAATAATTATGCCACGATAGTTTAATTAAATATATTTCATAATCTTTCTTTTGAACTTCTCGCTCTTTTTCATTCGAACGAACTCACTTAATTACTTGCATTTTCTTCTCAATAAATTCTACTCTTTATATCAAACCAAACAAACAAAGATTTAATAAATTAAAATAACTCTACTCTTTATATTTCCCTTCACTCTAATGTATCTCATCAAATAATATTGAGTAGTATTTAATTATTTAATATTACACAACGAGGAGTAACCTTTCATTCATAGTCATTTCTTTAAACTAAAACAAGAGATTAATTGCAAATAACAAAAGAAAAAAAAGGAATTTTTATTCAGATCGAGCAGTTCGGATTTTTTTTTTTAATGTCAAATCTACATTTTTACTTTAAAAACTTTTCTTATTCTTCAAAATAAGTTAAAAACAAAAATAATCAATTTTTTTCCCCGGAAAATTTAATAATTTAATTGTGAAATTAAATATTTTTTATTTTTCACAGGAAATGCTCCCGTTGTTTTGTTTCTCTGCAAATCCGTCAATTTCTCTTTAATTCCCTCTTATGGGCATTTCTGCATTTCTCTTCCGCCATTTTTGAACCCTGTCCTTCTCTTTCATTGTCTCTACAGATTTATACAGATATATAACAATGGATAGTAATGACGATAATATTAGTAATCATTATAATATTGATGATACAGTGGAAAATTCATCAAACTCCTTGCAATTTCAAGAGAAAGAGCGGGAAGAAGAGTCCGTATCTGTAGATGATGACCAGAGAGTCTATTTAGTTCCATTCAGGTAAGAACAATTTCAATGTTAGTTTAAATTATACATGTTCTTTTTTCTGAAGAAAAATAAATTGGGAAAAAAAATAGAATAGTGAAGAAGAGAACAAATCTGATTTAAAGAGAAACCCATCTCTAAATTTATTTGAATGGAATGTGGTATTTATTGAACTCAACATCAAAGAATCAAAATTATTTGAAATCCCGAATCGGGAAATGGGAAAATTAAAAGAGAGAGAAAAAAAAAATACTCATTACACTTTTTGTATTATTTCTTGGGTTCTTTTTGCATTTGAAATATAGTTCGGAGTTTGAACTAGCGATCTTGTGGATCCTGTTGGATTTATTTGTTTTTGAATTTTAATTTGTGTGGGATTTATATCTTCTTGGTTTAATGTTTCTTTTAACTGAATTTAGAGTATTGAGAATGCTATCGCTGCATTTTGAATAAATAAGTAGTAGAGTAATGTGCCTCGGGAGAATTTGAGTAGGACAGCTTCTAAGAACATAAATATCAGAAAGGAAATTGAAAATATATCTGCTATTAGATTTTTAAAATCAATTTGCTGTTTTTGTTCAACTGATATGTGGTATTGGGAGTGTTGAGTAATATTTGGAAATAAATTTATTACTGTGTTTGTGTTCGCATTTCTTTGTATGTCTATATTGGGGTTTTTTTAGATGGTGGAAGGAGGCGCAAGACTCTTCCTCATCGGAGTTGAAGAGAGGAGTTTTTTATGCTGTGTCATCTACAACACCTTATGGGGGAGCAATGAAGATATTAAACAGTATATTCAACTCAGACATTGCATTTAACTTGAGGAAAGAGGATGATTCATCCTTGAACAGTGGGGGAAATGGTGAAGTCGGAATAACTGGTCGGGATTATGCTTTGGTCCCCAGTGAAATGTGGCTGTCCGCACTCAAGTGGTTAGTAAGTTAACTGAAATTTTGCATTAACTTGTATGCTTTACTTAAGTTTCCACTTTCAATTGCTTCGTTGTGTATTTGATTCGGTATGATAAGATTTCAATTTTGCAACACTGATCTGCGTTAATTTTAATTTGCAGTAATCTGTATGCTTAGCTCGACTTTCCACTTTCTATTGGGTCATTGCATATTTTGATTCGATATGATGTTTCAATTTGCAAGACTGAATTGTTTGGAGATGCATTGTACAAATGCAGTGCTGAAAGTGTTGGCTAGATTTTAGTGATAGCATTGGAGTGCTGAAAGTTTGAATTCACTTTGCGTTGTGCCACCTGTGCACAAGATGTCTTTATCCCTGCCAGTGGTCCTCTGTATTTTTTACTGTTATGGCTTGATGTGAGCGAATTCTCCAGTACTTAAAAACTTCATCATTCCTGCTTGTTTGGCAATACTATCAACAACTTTTTATATGATTAGCTGTCCGGCTGTTGCACTTGGAAGGTCGTGGAATTCAATTTGTTGGGATGTTTGAGATTTTATCTCTCCTCTTTAAATTCAAAGTGTTCTCCAAAATGGTTAGTTTAAACTATTATTCTGTGTATTTTTCTTTTATTGTGGGAGTGTTGTGGAGTGCTATATTTGGATAATATCAATAAATTTATGACAACTTTCTGCCAATTTCTTCCTCCAAGTTGAAAAAAGGGGATTGGTAGGTGTAAGTACTGGGAAGTTATTCTTGTCTGATTGTTGATGCTTGTGGAATTAAATGAAGTTATTTCGTCATGTTGGAATTCTTCTGTTCTGCCCAGGCATAGTGATTCCAAGAATGCTACAAAGGATAGCAAAGGTTTTTCAGCCGCAGAAGAAGATATGTCAGATGTTTATCCTCTGCAACTCAGGCTTTCTGTTTTGAGGGAAACCAACTCATTGGCAGTGAAGATAAGCAAAAAGGTCAGTAATCCCTGAGCTAGTCTCCTTGTCTTACTTCCTGTTCTCATTGTTTATGCATGCCTGCTTGCCATCAGATGCACAATATGACTTGATTGGTTGATTGATGTCCTGTCCTCTCTGTTCTCTAATATTATGTTCTCGGTAAATATTGTTCTTTAAAACTCACGAAGGGAACTTTAATTTCTAGATATCTTTCTTAGTAAAGGGGGTTTTTAATTGAGGAAAGTAGCTGTATATGTATTATTGGTTATAAAGTTCTACATTCAAATTATAACAAGCTAGTACTAAGGTATAAGAATTTGAAACTCTTACATGGGAAGAAGCACACTTTAATTCAGGCATTACCATAGTTCAATATGTTTCAATCATGTTCAAAATTTTATTTTGTCATCGAGTACGTTAGATTGATTTTGGGACAGGACATGGTCCAGTGGCATCCTCCTGCCATGAATGATTAATTTCTATTGCTAGACAACATATTATCTGTTTACCATCAAACCTCCCTTCATATGTTGGTGGTTGATAGTTCTGTAAAGTTTATTAATGTATATTAGTCTTAGGTTTGCCACTTGATTTCTTGCTTGTCAATGGCATAAAGAATTGTTATAGAATGGTCATCTGGGCTTACCTGCTGTTAAATAGTCCCTAATTAACTCATTATGAATCATCTGTTAATATAATTCTGATGGGGAGCCATATAAACTGAAAACTGCATGCAATCTTAATGGTGGCATTTTCATAATCTTGTAGCAGGTTTTTTTGGTAGTTATCAATGTTTGATGTGGGATATGGGAGGATTACTGGCGTACAAGTATGGTAACTAATCTGAAGAATGCTGAATGGTAGGCTCTTTATAGTATCTTAAGTTCTTACTTTTTCTGTCTAAAAATTGCAAATAATGGACTTCACCCGTCTAGATTATTTAGGTGAGTGTCTAATGATGGAATTGTCACAGAAAGACGAGAGATGGTTTTAAAATAAATTTAGCTCCTGAAACACAGAAATGATGACAATTTATAATCCACATCTTAAGCATCCCTTTAATATGCTAGGTTAGAGGTTGGATTGAGTGGGGATTGCATAGTTTCACTTGCTGAACTTGAACATGTTTTGAATTTTATATTTGCTTCTGTGTTTTCTCTGACCCCTTTTAGTGAGTTCTGTACCACTTTCAGTAATTAGTGAACTTAAGAACCTCCATCCAAGTGTGGACGGAGGCATCTCATGCCTCCGTCCATCAAACCTTCCTTCATATGTTGGTGGTTGATAGCTCTGTAAAGTTTATTAATGTATATTAGTCTTAGGTTTGCCACTTGATTTCTTGCTTGTCAATGGCAAAAAGAATTGTTATAGAATGGTCATCTGGGCTTACCTGCTGTTAAATAGTCCCTAATTAACTCATTATGAATCATCTGTTAATATAATTCTGATGGACAGCCATATAAACTGAAAACTGCATGCAATCTTAAGGGTGGCATTTTCATAATCTTGTAGCAGGTTTTTTTGGTAGTTATCAATGTTTGATGTGGGATATGGGAGGATTACTGGCGTACAAGGATGGTAACTAATCTGAAGAACGCTGAATGGTGGGCTCTTTATAGTATCTTAAGTTCTTACTTTTTCTGTCTAAAAATTGCAAATAATGGACTTCACCCGTCTAGATTATTTACGTGGGTGTCTAATGATGGAATTGTCACAGAAAGACGAGAGATGGTTTTAAAATAAATTTAGCGTCCGAAACACAGAAATGATGACAATTTATAATCCACATCTTAAGCATCCCTTAAATATGCTAGGTTAGAGGTTGGATTGAGTGGGGATTGCATAGTTTCACTTGCTGAACTTGAACATGTTTTGAATTTTATATTTGCTTCTGTGTTTTCTCTGACCCCTTTTAGTGAGTTCTGTACCACTTTCAGTAATTAGTCATTATATGTTTCTGAACAATATTTTGGGACCAATTTGGATGGCAAATGGGTCGTTTGGTTTGGAAAGTTTCCTGAAAACTATTTTAATTTAAATCATTTGGTTTAAAAATATGCCAAAATCCGTCCAAGCCGAACACTTTACAGCACTATATTCCCCAGAATTCCTAGCTGATTGCTATCCATCACCATCAACCTGGGTCAGATTTGAGGTTTCTGAAATTTAGGCAGAATTTTCAGCATTTGTTGGTAATCCCTGTGAACTGCATCCCATTACTTAATTAATTTCTCAATAATAAAGATTGATGGACAAATTTCCTGTTTCTCAGCAAAAAGTCTGATGGGTCGAAATTCTGTTTTTCCAGCAATCTAGGCCATAAATAATTTAATCAATTTCAGCAGTTTATCAAGCTCTTATACCGTGAAACACGATTCTGAAGTGAATATTTATACAGATCTTTCATGATACTCAAGAGTACATTGCTAATTTTAGAAATACAAAGTAGAGAAGAAAAGCAGATTAAGAGAATTTTGGGAACTGATTTCCTACATAGTAGGAAAATACTTAGTTACCATAGCTATGTAAGGATTAAAATTCAAACTTTGTATATTTTTCCACAGCTTTATTTATTCTGCCTTTCTGAAAACTATCTTATCATGCTTTTGACCGATACACATGGCATTTTCAACTTCGGAGATTACATTTGCTAGATTGTCTAGATGGTTCCTTATGTTTTTTTCCTGTTGTTGACTTTCATTTTCTGTGTCAGGACAATTCAGTTGAGTGTTTTAGAAGAGCCTGCAAGATTTTTAATGTAGACTCTGACTCGGTGAGTGTTTCGTGGGTTCTGTAATTTTTAATGCTGTAAATACTTTCCGTCATGGAGATTAATTGTTACCTCTATACTGTGCAGTTAAGGCTTTGGGATTTTTCTGGGCAGACAACACTCTTTCTCTTAAATGACAAAAATAAGTTCCCTAAAGAGTACCAGAAACAACCAGAGCAGGATGTAAGTTATCTTATAATCGAAAATGAGTCAAGTGATCATCTACTTTTCTTTTAAGGGTTTTCCACTTTATTTTAAATTGATTATGCAGTCTGGATGAAAGAAAATACATGTTATCCCTGTTTGCTATTGGACTTACTAATTTTTCTGCAGCATAATGTGGTTCACTGTGATGTTCTGTGATTTTTTTGAAAAACAATAAATATGATGATGCCATGTCAGAAATAATATCCAAATTTTGATCAGGATTGATTATGGTGATGATATTACACTTTCTGGGGGGAAAAGAAATGAATCTTTAATGACTCATCTTATCCTTCTGTAAATGGATTTGCATTATACTTTATTCATCAGCTATTGCATTGATGCACGTGTTTTAGATCATGAACTTTCTGTTTTATGTTGCACCGTTTTGTTATAGAAATTCCAGTAGTATCTAAATTCCTTTAGTTTCTCTCTCTCTCTCTCTCTCTCTCTCTCTTTGGGGTGGGGTGGAGGGTAGTGAGTGTCTTGGATGATTGAACTCCGTCGAACTGTTAATCAAATAAGCTGTTTGGTAACTTGCATTGCATTGGTTTACAACTTTTCCCTGGAATTCCAATCTTTCATGCAATTTATCATCACATTAAACTTTTTTTTTTCAGCACATGTTCCATTTATGTCCAGTTAACTCTAGTAACTACTTTTCTTCTATCTTATGCAGCTACTCCTCGAGTTGCAAGTCTATGGTTTGTCTGATTATGCTAGAAATAGAGTAAAAAGAGATGCGATGGCACAACATGCTAATGGTACTTCACATCTGATGAATGCTATCGCCATCAACGGTAGCTCTAGTCTTGTCCGCAGCAATTCGGCAGCCTTAAGTTCATCTGAAGCTGGTACCTTGGGACTGACTGGATTACAAAACCTGGGAAATACTTGTTTCATGAACAGTGCTCTTCAGTGTCTAGTACACACACCGAAGGAACACCTGATGAAAGAACCTCTAAACAAGAGAGAAATAAACCTAGATAACCCATTGGGCATGAATGTACGTCGTCCTTTCTGTTAGGACTTCAGTATTTCTTTCCTGCTCTGATTACTTTTACTTTTTCTGCATCCCTTGAACTTTTTCCTTGTCATTTTGTTTTTTGTTGTACCTTGATTTTTTAACATTGCTTTATATTCGGAGATAATGTCATTCTATCTCTTAGATGCAATCCTTTTATGTAAAAACATATATGTGTGTGTATTTAGCCTATCACTAACTTGATTCTGCAATAGGTTCTTGGATTAATTTTTTGGAGAGTACATGCAGTAGAGACTAGGATCAATTTTGGTTCCTTCTGTTTAAAAGATCTTCCTTATGCGCTTTCTCTATGCTATCCTCGTAACTAATATTTTCACCAATGAAATTTTACTTGTCAAAAAAGACTATCAGCTGCTTATTTGTTGGACAGGGTGAGATTGCTTCTGCTTTTGGAGACTTGTTAAAGAAATTATGGGCTCCTGGAGCAACTCCAGTAGCACCAAGAACATTCAAATTGAAGCTTGCTCATTTTGCTCCTCAATTCAGTGGTTTTAATCAGCATGATTCTCAAGTTCGTTCCCTCTTTTCTCATACTTAATCTTTGTCCAAATGCATGCATAATCTTTACCAGTGTATTTGCATTTAATGAGCTGCTTTATGTTAGAAAGTGGGATAGTCAGTTCTTTGTGTGAGGATTATAATAGTTTCCCCAATTTAAATACTGCAGGAGCTCTTAGCATTTTTGTTGGATGGACTCCATGAAGATTTGAATCGTGTGAGGTGCAAACCATATGTTGAAGCTAAGCCTTCAGATGGTCGACCAGATGAAGAAGTAGCTGAAGAATATTGGAGGAATCATCTTGCTCGTAACAATTCAATTATTGTTGATGTGTGCCAAGTTAGTGTCTTTTCTTAAATTAATCTGCAACATGGAATGCATGCTTGAGTGATTGGTTTTTTTTTTCCCATGGTATGCCGGACTTTCTAGTTTATCCATTGCTTTTTTGTTTTTTGTCATTTGGAAAAGTAGGAAATGAAGGCTCTGTTTTATTTTTCTCCGAATACCACTTGTGCTTAGGTGGGGGTCATTTGGAAAAATAAGAATCAAAGGCTTTGTTTGTATACAGTATTGCATTTTTATCCTTCTCTTTGTTAAGGACTATGACAATCATTGGTTTTAGTTGGTTTAGACATTTTCTTGAGCCCAAATTATAGATATTCCATCTTCCTTGTCTTGATGATGTGGAACTTTCAGGTTGTTTGATTGCTTGAAAGTTTTAAATCTTTGTTGGTACCTTTTATTGGAATCTAGGTGGACCAGTAAACCATATGAATCTGATATCTGCTATTATTAGTAATGTTTTGTTTTGTAATCCTTTGCTTAATAGCTTACAATATTTTGAAATTTATAATTGTCATTTGAAGGCTCCATGGCCTTCGCAATTTGAAGAAAAACAAACAATGCTCTCTAGTTTTTCTTGTCGTCTTTATGAATGCCTTATGGACTGACATATCTTGGATGACATTATTGCAGGGTCAATATAGATCCACATTAGTATGCCCCCACTGTAGAAATGTGTCTGTTACTTTTGATCCCTTCATGTATCTATCATTACCTCTGCCATCAACATCAACACGGACCATGACTCTGACATTGGTGAAAGCCGATGGCAGCATTCAGCCATCCCCATTTACTGTTTATGTACCCAAAAATGGAAAGCTTCAAGATCTGCTTCAGGCTTTGAGCAAAGCATGCACACTGGGGGTTGATGAAACACTTTTGCTGGCTGAGGTAAACTACAGAAATTGCACTAAAATTTTAAACGTGTTACAAGCTTTCAGTGTTTTTTCTGTTGTTTCTGTTTGTCGATATTATTTGTATTTCAATATCTTAGATTTTATAGTTATGTACAGATATACAACAGTCGCATTATACGTTTTCTCGAGGAACCGACTGATTCATTATCTTTGATTAGAGATAATGATCAACTGTTTGCGTATAGGTTGCCGAAGCATATTGAGGAAGCTCCTCTGGTTGTGTTTATGCACCAGCAGATGGAAGAGTAAGTCCCCATTTTCATATTGATTGACCAAACTTCACTGCTTCATTTTCAAATATGTGTACTTTTGTTTGTATCTGCCATGTAGAAAATGGTTCTTCATTTAAAGTTTATTTCCAGGCAACAACGGAAATGAGTTTGTCTTGTGAATCTCTGAGTGCTTATTTCCTGTTAGTCAGCAGCTACTGCAAAATTGTGAATCACTGTGGAGACATCTTGATGAACTTTCCCTTTACTGCGGAAATATTATATGTGATAATGGAGATGCTTTTGATTTCCACGTAGGAAACATGACCCTGACTCCCTTCTTTCATGTGCCTGTCTTCTGTTAATTTTCTTGCTCGTAATTCACTTCAACTAGTGATTTTTTTTAGTAAGGGAAATGAAGCAAGTTAATTTTGAAAATTTACCTTTTCTCACCTCGAGTTTTTGCCTTAAGCCTATTTACTTAAATATTTTTTCAGGCAATATACGTACAGGAAACTGATACCAATTTGGAGGGCATTCGGAATTCCCCTTGTAGCACGTAAAAACATTGTTAATGGATCTGATATCCGTGAAACGTATTTGAAATTACTAGCTCCATTCTTAGTATGCAATGAAGATACAACTGAAAATCGTTGTAGCGCAGAGAATACTTCAACTGATTCTACTGAAAATCGTGATAGCGCAGAGTATACTGCAACTGATTCTACTGAAACTTGTGATAGCCCAGAGAACGCTGTAACAGAAGTGATGATGGAAATGAAGAACTCCACTAGTCCTAGTGGGTCCCCTGAGAAGGTTGAGGCAGAAGAGCTTTATGCGCAGTCTGATACTGAATTACAGTTTTATTTGACGGATGAAAAAGGAATAGTCAGGGACTCTAAGATTGCAATGGATGAGCCTGTGAAGTCCACACCCATGCCAGACCGATTGAATGTGCTAGTATGTTGGTCAAGTAAAATGGTTCAGCAGTACGATGTACAGCCTCTTAGCGTTTTTCCGGAAGTTTTCAAATCTGGCGTCTTCACAAAAGGACCACAAGACTCTGTATCTCTGTATAAATGCCTTGAAGCATTCCTGAAGGAGGAGCCTCTAGGACCAGAAGATATGTGGTTAGTGTGCTAGTCATTACCTTCCCAATCGTCTTCTATTAATATTCTTGATAGCTTTATTGTATGGCACATCTGTGTTGTACAAAGACATCTTTGTCTTTGTTTTGGTAACTTGACTTGATACCAGCTCATTATGTTTAGAACACATAATCCTTTCAAATTTACCTCTTTAGCCTGTATGGTAGGAAGGATTGTATAGCACTAGACACTACTAAGAAAGAAAAAGAAGATAAAATCTTATTCACTATACTTACAATCCCTCATGTAGTGCATGCCAAACATTCACATATAGTGTCATTGTAACTCATTGCTCCCCACGTTTCAAAACTGCAATTTGTATTAGTCCTCTTCTTTAATGTCATCCCACCTGAATATGATGCATTCAGTTAGAAGCTTTTGCAGTTAATAGTTTTTCTAATCTGGTTTACAATCTTTGATACTAGGTACTGTCCTGTTTGTAAAAAGCATTGCCAAGCCAGTAAAAAATTAGATCTTTGGAGACTGCCGAAAATTTTAGTGATTCATTTGAAAAGATTCTCATATAACCGATTTCTTAAGAACAAATTGGAGGCATTTGTCGACTTCCCCATTCATGACCTTGATATGTCTACTTATATTGCCCGGGAGGATGGACAATCTTCAGATCGTTATTTGCTTTATGCAATTAGTAATCATTATGGAAGTATGGGAGGTGGTCACTACACTGCATTCGTTCACGTAAGTGTTGCTTCTTCATAATAACTTATTTTACCTTTTGCTTTCTTCTTACTTTAATATCTTTATCAAGTTAATTTGACATCTCTTTGAAGCAAATGTTATCAATTGATATCTTCTGATTACCAGTTCATTTGTCGTTACTTGATTTTCAACTAGACTATATTGTATTGTATAGAAGATTGTGTTTGTTATGACATACCCTATGTTTTTGTACATTTTATTTAGTGTCAATGACCCGATTATAAATTATTGTCCGTTGAAGTTTTTCTCCACTTCTCCATGTACTTTCTAACCACTGTATTCAATCAATTCTTAAATCGAAAACCATTTTTTTTGAAATTTTTATCTTTATTTGGCATGTGGATTGACCATCAATCCACATCGTGAACTGGGACTGCACGACCCCCGCCATCCTAACAATGGGCACCTGTACATGTCGTTATTTAAGTATCTTAATACGTCATGAGGCTAAGAAGTATGGATTAAGGATTTTGACATTTTGGTTTTCTTAATATTTTGTACTGCATATATTAGAAGCTTTACAAATTTGTTGAATTATTCTAACTCTTGTTACTCTGACATAGCATGGTGGCAATCAGTGGTATGACTTTGACGACAGCCATGTGTCTCCCATCAGTGAGGACAAGATCAAAACTTCGGCTGCCTATGTTTTATTTTACAGGAGATTCGAAGATATCTAACTTTAGATGATAGCAACTGACTATTGAAGGTTGATTCATCTCTTTATCAGGCAGTCTCGGAAGAATTGCATTAAAGGTAGGATTCTTTTGTCTTGAGCGTCATACAGTTTCTAGTTTGTAAGACTGAAAACCTGTAGTATAGAAGGATGCCAAGGCCAGTTTAACATAGTACAATGCAAACTGAAATTAGAAGTTCATATTAAGAAGGAACGAGTTTACCCCCAAAGCTTTTTGTTGTGGACGAGTTTTACCTTTATTTTTCTTTGAAAAGATAAAGTCTAGCCCAGAAAAAGTTGCTCTGCAACTTTATCAGTGTATTTTTGAGAATCCTGGGGTAACTAATTGTTGGAATTTCGAAATTTGTACAATGGACGACTATAATGATAACGGCGTTTGATTTTTGTGCTTATTTGGTGTTAATATACTTGTGTGTCGTGTCCCTTGCTTTTCTTTCTCCAGTGTTTTACATATTACACCTTTCTAACTTCAATGCTAGTTGATGATGATCTTGATATAGCGGTGCACTCAAGAATGTGTTGTATTAGTGGTTTGTTATCATGCAGTTGGATTCAAACTTCACTTTGGCTATCCGACCTTAAGAACTTCTTGTAGTAGTGATTTATACAAGATTTTTGCTAGTGGTTTTTAGTATTTAATTCTTCGTTTTTTGTTCTTTTGAATAGACTCCATATCATTCTTATCGTGTCAATTTTAACATTTGGGTTATCAGATTGATTATTCTTTGCGCAAATGGTTATTTTCGTTTTATTCTGTCCATTTCTTTTTATAAATAGGCATGTCTTTTGCATATGACATGAAAAGACAATCTTGTCCTTCAATTTTAAAATTAAAAAAATAGAAAAAGGCAAAATAAAAAGTAAAAACAGGAAAAAAAAAGGAAGGAAAATAAAAATCTTTTTCTCCCCAAACCCTACCCGTCTAACCTCCATCCACCACAACCCGCTTCCGTACCTCTTCCATCGATTTTCATTCCAAGCACAACACATGTAATGACATCGCTGCTGCTGTCGCCACAGCCGCCACCACTATCCAATATTGTTATATTGGGGCGTTCATGCAGCAGTTCTTCCAACGAAGATAGAATAATGAGGACAAAAAATAACAAAAAGGGAGTTACAAAGAGTAGTGAAGAGTGAAACGAAAGCGAAAATGGAGGAAACTCATTATAAAGGTTTTATAAATTCTTGCGCCTAATTATGGCGCCTCGCTTCGTGGTGTGCTTAGGAAGACAACAACGCCGAATGCACTACGGGTATGCCGTGTATGGCTGACAAAACAACATAGCCTGCAATCTTGCTGTACGTGAGCGCCACATTCAAACATGATCAAGAGATGGCTGATTTACAGGGAGAAGCTGTACGGTCGGAGTTAATGACAAGCGATCGAATATTAGTGGGTAATAATGCAATTGACTCGAGTAAGGGGTCTAATGATGCTAGATGACGCATCGTCCAAATTAGATGGTCGATCGAGGGTACATGCTTGATGCATGACGAAAACGTGAATAATAATTGGTTCTGTTCCTAACACACGGATGGATATTTGCTCGAATTTCATTTCAACGGATGTGATAAATATTCGAAATTTATCAAATAATGGGAAAAACTCAAATATCTTATCAATAAAAAAACGAATGTCTAATTTACAAACCCCTAAACACATATTTAAAGAGTCGAAATAAATCCTAATTAAACTAGGAAACTACAAAACAAATCCGAATAAAACTAAACAAAATTACCTCTAAACTATCTCAAAACAGAAAAAACACTAAAATTGACCTCTAAACAACTGAATTTGACACCGAAAGTTCGACGACATCATTTGAAAAAAGTTGCAGAATTGAAAAGCGCTTCTAGATTGTCTTTACGGACGAAAATCCGACAATTGAGCCGAATGTTGTTGGAAAAATGAGTATATAGCTGACTTTGGCATGATTTTTGAGTGGGATCTGTTTGGCTATTTTGGAAAATCAAGGTTGATTTGTGTTTTCCTCCGTGAGTACATCGAAATCATATATTTACTTGCCAAAATTGATACTCGGGTGAATAAGAAATTGAAACTCAAATTGTGCCACTTAAAAGAAGTTTATGTTGATGAGAAACTAAAAAATATGTTTGTCCCACATAGGAAGTAGATGAAAACTAAAATCACTTTATAAAGGATTACACTTTAGAATGACATAATCATGTGTAGCATATAGGCTCTCTCCACGTGCGTGCGCAGGGAGGTGCAAATCATGGACCGAAATGGGTTTCGGACCTTGAACTCGTGTGCGGGCGCGACCTACGTACACGAATGTCGGACCAAAAGGAGCCAAATTGGCCCCTTAGGAGTGTCCACGTTTTGNCCTTAAGAGTGTCCACGTTTTGCTACATTTTTATTTTTCAACTGACTTTTCATTTCCTGAAACTCCTGTGGTAATTACCATGAAGTGAATGGCAAGTTATAAGATCCAAATCTATATATATCTCGATTTTTTCCAGTTTTCTACACACGAATTTCATCTAAAAATTCAACTGCATACAATTTGAGTTTGCCTTCGTTCTCTGATTCTATTTTAGTCTTTTTAGTAATATTGTTCGGGCACTAACTCAGTACGTCGGAGTAAAATCTGTGGTACTCAAACTTTACTGTTTTACCGTTGTATCTTGGAAAGCAGATGCTTAAATCATACCTCAAACACGTACGGTGAGGTGGAGAATCTGATCTTTTTTTAAATAGGCATGTCTTTTGCATATGACATGAAAAGACAATCTTTTCCTTAAATTTGAAAATTAAAAAAATAGAAAAATGGCAAAAAAAAAAAAGGAAAGAAAAATAAAAATTTCTCTTCAAACCCTACCCGTCTAACCTCCATCCACCACAACCCCCTCCCCGTACCTCTTCCACGTCGTTGACATCATCATCACCTTCCATCGATTTTCATTCCAAGCACAACACATGAAATGACATTGATGCCGCTGTTGCCGCCACTGCCACCACTATGTAATATTAGAATGTTCATGTAGTAGTTCTTCCAACGAAAATAGAATAATGATGACAGAAAATGGTAAAAGGATGGTCATCGAATTTCAAAAAGAACCGTCAAAAGACCTTTTTTTTCGTATGAAGTAAAGAGAAGCAAAGAGTGAAATGAAAGCGAAAATTGAGGAAACTCATTATAAAGGTTGTATAAATTATTGCGCCTCGCTTCGTGTTGCTTCATGTTGTGCCTAGGAAGACAATCAAGCTGAATGCACTACGGGGATGTGTGCCGTTTTAATCCTCAAACAGCATATCCGGAAAGCTCGTTTCGGCGCGCACGTCGTGGCCACCCAGCTTTGCTCGGTGTGTGCCGTTTTCATCCTCAAATTCCGCTGTTTTTCCTTCCGAATTGCTATTTTTTGTTAATTTTTGCTATTTTTTGTAATATTTCGATTGCATGTTAGTAGATGATTTTTAACCCGATTTGGGTTAAATTTTTTGCAGAATACTTACTTTATTCCATATTTTTATTTTAAGTTAATTTTTGCTATTTTTGGTAATATTTCGATTGCACGTTAGGAGATGATTTTTAACCCGATTTGGTCTAGATTTTTTGCAGAATACTTATTTTATTCCATATTCTCGTTTGGCGTGATTTTTGAAATTTTGCCATTTTTGGTAAAATTCGAATTTTGGCTATAAAATCCGACTTGTGGACTTATTCTCATTATTGCGTGATATAATAAAATTCTCTAAATTTCAGAGACCTTTTCTCTGTATTTTTCGGCGTTAATCTTGTGTTCTTCCCAGTGAATTTGCTGGTAGAACTAGCCTGTAGAATAATCACTATTCTGTCCGGCGTCACATTCAAACACGATCAAGCGATGGTTGATTCACATTTGACATCGCGTCTAGGAGAGAGGCTGTACGATCGGAGTTAATGACAAGAGATCGAATATTAGTGGGTAATAATGCAGTTGACTCGAGTAAGGGGTCTAAATGACGCATCGTCCAAATTAGATGGTCGATCGAGGGTACATGCTTGATGCAGGACGAAAACATGAATAATAACAATTGGTTCCGTTCGTAATACACGAACGGATATTTGCTCGAATTTCACTCGAACAGATGTGATAAATATTTGAAATTTATCAAATAACGGGAAAAACTAAAAATATCTCATTAATAAAAAAAATATGTCTACTTTACAAATTCCTAAACACATGTTTAAAGTCTCAAAATAAATCCTAATTAAAACGAAACCCTAATTCTATAGACAAATCCAAATAAATTAGGAAACTACAAAACAAATTCAAATAAAACTAAAAACCGAAAAAATTACGAAATTACCTCTAAACTAACTCAAAACAGAAAAACGCTAAAATTGACCTCTAAACGACAGAATTTGACATCGAAAGTTTGGCAACATCATTTGAAAAAAGATGCAGAATTGAAAAACACTTCTAGGTTGTCTTCACTGACGAAAATCCGACAATTGAATCGAAAGTTACGTACGTTTTCATATATCCTTCTTAGTTTTTTTTCTTTTTTTCCAATTATTTAAGATTTTCTCTTCTAATTGTTCCGTATCAATGTTGATATTCTGCTCGACCACCAACTTATAACTGATGACTCAATAAGCTGATGGTCACGTCACCAATCACGCCTTAAAATTTATATCTAGGTTTAATTCCTTCCCAATTAGGATGAGAACACATATTTCAAATTTCACCTCACTTAAAAATACTCTACTTCTGAAAACAGTCCTACCACCCACCGGAAAACTTTGCTCTGTCTCGCACCACCACTCAAAATAATAATTCCACAAGGCACAAATCATCTTTATAACGGGTGGACTTTAAAAAAAAAAAAAAAAATCTATCTTGTAAGTAAATAAAACGAGGTAGCTTCTTCATTATTTTGTGTACTTTCTTTGTCTAATTTATGTTATCAAATGCACTACAAAAATATCTCGAGTAATGTCAAGATTTTGAGTTTCATCTTAAAAGGTGAAC